ACCTTTGTTGTGATTTGGTGTATATTATAAATAAATCTGAACTGAAATTGAATTCAAAATACGAGTCCGTTGCTTTATTGGAGGGTTTTAGTCTTCTTGCCTGGGCACAGTAAATTTGTGGGATCCTGACATGTGGTTGCCATAGGTTAACATGGAAATTACAAGAAATTTCTAAATGATAATAATTAGCAGCTTTATTTTACTTTATAGCAGTGACTTTGGTTTAATAGTGTGTGGCGATACTAACAGATTCCATCTAAACCTAAATCTCACTTCGGCAAACTTTATTTTGATTTCATTGCTTACCGTGTCTGAATGAATTATATCACTATTTTAAAAAATTAAAAGCTTTATCGCACACCCGACAGTTACACTGTTACCCCTATCTTTAGTCTTTGAGGGACACGGACAACAGAAGACCCAACGGCCAAGCAGTCACTCCTGTTATACCCGTTTTACTTCTCTGAAGTGTGCTGGCTGTAACACATTCATAGTCCGTGCATTACAGTGCACTAACTAAGCATGGTCACAAAAAAAACAAGAATACAGGCAGGCACAAAGACACCCATTCGAGCACTTACTGTCCGATCATTTGGACACAAGTGGACCCTAACAGAGTCGTGGATAACCTTATTTCCACCAAAGGGTTAGGGTCATACCAATCAGAGTCAAGTCAGAGACATGGAGATTAGCAGCAGTGCGAGGACCGGAGATAGCAGAATATCAATTTAATCTTCAGACTCATGGCAATGATAGGCACAGAAACCACTGAGTGACACTCAGCTACGAGAGAGTGCACGCGTGCTACTAAGTGTATTTATTATTTTTATGTATCCATAAGGTGATATGCATGACATTAATAATGGCCTCAAAATCAGTACCTGTACACCTCTGGTGGAAAAGTGGTACTAACATCATTTTCATGATGCTTCAGTGCTTCTTAAAGAGAGGGACAACAAACAGAGGACCCTTCTTACCGTCTTGGCCAGTTTGCAAGCCTCCTCAGGCAGGTTTGCAATCTCGTAGTAGAAGACGGAGAAGTTCAGCGCAAGGCCCAGGCGGATGGGATGTGTAGCCTCCATTTCCTTTAGGCTGATGTCATAGGCATCCTGGTAGCCACCTTGTGAGTTCTTAACAATCTCTGCACAAGCAAAAAAGCAGATATAGTTTCAAATGAGAAAAATTATTTCTTGGAAACCACACACTGAATTTTTTGAAGTTAGACAACAACAAAAATACATTAAACAAAATAAAGAAAAAAAAAGAAGAAAAAAAGAAACAAAGTAAAATCATCTGATTAATATTTCTATTCAGCTCTACTGTCAAGTACAGGTCCTCAGAACCAAAAAGATGAAGTATCCAATCATTTGAAAGTGGATTTGATGGATATTTTATGGAATATGTAACAAAAGAACAATCTTTTACAAAACCACCCAAAATTAACAAAAGAAAATTAATCTAAAATGCCTTCTGGCAACTAGAAGCAGCCAACACCCTGCTGCTGCTGCAGTTGCCATGACAACCTCGCAGCAGCACTTGCCAGCATTTTGGCGGACAGTTGTAGGTCAAGGACGAGAAGCGCGTTAGCATTCTGGCTAAAAACAACACCTGAACCAGTCCTAGGGTCTCCTACCCTAAAAAGGATTTTCAGGACGCCCAGTCAGCACACGTTCATCCCACCGACCGGCAGCTGCGTGACACACCACCGCATGGTTTTCATAAACCCTGAACATAAGCACTCACTATCACTACCTTGAGTGACTGCACGACATGATAAGAAGAAGGGGTGATGTATGATGTCTGTTTTATTTACCGTTCCTCTCGTCTCCGGTAGCCACCTCAGCCAGGTAGCGGAAGTAGTCTCCCTTCATCTTCAGGTAGAAGACTTTGCCCTCTGCGCCCGATGCTTTGGGGATCAGATATTTGTCGAGCAGGTCCTGCGAAAAGAAATGTGGAAGTTTAACTCTAAAGAACACGTGCAACACACACAAACCCCAGCAGTTATAAGTGAGCCAGTGACATTTTTAACTCCTTTTCCCTAATGGCTGCCTCACTGGGCCAGGGTGCTGTTATGGAGGTGCTCAGTATCATTCAGTTACTTCATCCAGAGGGGATTTGCTCACATGGTTGAATGTATTCCAAATCCACCACCATACACTGGAAGTCGCAACAGCAGTTCTCATGCTTTTGAGATCAACAGCGATCACGTATCTGCAGCAGGTGGAGAAGTGCTCCACATGCTGCTATGTAGATCTCACCCAGGCTGCACTGCAGAACAAGACCTACTGTTTGCTGCAGTCCAACCGAGCTTTGCTATTTTTTCTTTACAAAGTATACTTGGTAAATAATTTAAATATCTTTTTATAAGTTTGTAAGAGTGAATGTGTCTCCCTTTATATGTGCATTTCCCCATTTCCACCACAATTAACATGAAATATGTAGAAATCACTCGACAGGTATGTTAAGAGTACACAGCTGTCCAGTGAAACTATGAGCAGGGAACATTCCTCTTCCTTTAACGTAGCTGCCAATCATATTCTAGGCCTTAAAATTCTAGGCTACACCCATCTGATTCATCATGTGGACTTTGACAGGAAGTGCTGAACTTTTTAGTCCTATTTCATGCGCTGCAATTTTAATGCGTACTGGACGCTTCCTGTGTATAAGTTAATATAAAACATCAAAGACAGTTTCATTTGAGTAAAATATACTAATATACTAATCTACTATATCTACTTATAGTAGAGCTAGATATGCTTTACAACATGCAAACTTTCGTCTATGGAGTTGAATCAGTGTAGTGGGCCTATATGTTTATGTTTCCTTTTAAAGGTCACAAGGTCACAGGGCTGTGAATCCGCAAATACAGGATGTATCCAAACTACCCAAATACTGAAGTTTATCTGTGTGATATTCAAACAACTGCTAGGAAGAGAGCCTTCATTTGCCTACTTGGTGTTCATAGTTCCAACTGTGTAAGATGGGCCTAAATACTACAGCTAAGATATTCAGAGGTGAACAGCGACGTAAGTAAAGCCATATTAACCTAGACAAGTGCTTGTATGCTGAGAACTATGACTAATATTTAAATCCTGTTAGCTGCAGGTTTATATTGTCCCTCTTTAGATCCCTACCACATAAACACAAGCACCACAACATACCTGTAGGTGTCACTAATGTGTAAAAAGCATGGTTCTACTACTACTTTTTGTAAGGGATGTGTGTTTGCTTCCATTCATAAGGAAGCTGTTCTTTTTCTTTTTAAACTGCTGTCGATGTTGGCTTTTGCAGCTTGATTATTTAAATTAAATAAATAAATAAATAAATAAATAAATATATATACACACACACACACACACACACACACACACACACACACACTAGACAGAGGTGACCAAGACCGGCCACTATCTCAATACAGGTTGGACTAATACAAGGAGGAGCAGCTGCTGTGCATTTATATTTTCTTGCAACAAGCATTTAGCTTCAACACCTCTGCTCCTCCTTACCCGAACTTCCTGGCAGATCTCTTTGAGCTCCCCCTCGATCTTCTCTCTGTACTCCTTGACCAGCGTGGCCTTCTTTTCGCTTTCAGGCGTCTTTTCGGCTTCAGCCTTCTTTTCGGCTTCAGCCTTCTGCTCGATGCTGGAGATCACCCTCCAGGAGGACCTTCGAGCTCCGACCACATTCTTGTAGGCAACAGAGAGCAGATTGCGCTCCTCGTTGTTGAGCTCCTGGTTCAGCTCTGTGACAGCCTTCATGGCTGCAGCCATGTCCTCGTAGCGCTCAGCCTGCTCGGCCAGTTTGGCCTTCTGTACCAGCTCCTCTCTGTCTGCCATGACTGTCATGTGGGGGTGGAGGAAGGAGAGAGGAAAGGGAGTCAGGAAGGACAAAACAAACAGGACAGGAGTTAAGGACTGTGTGTTAATGGAGGCCAAGCAAAGACATTGTAGAGAGAGAAAAAGTAGATTTCATTACTATATGTGAATAATGGAGGACTACTGTGCAAGTAAATGTGCTGTTATTCCAGCATAACCTCATTTCTCAGGTATGTGTTAAACATTTTGACTGTGAAGACATCCCCATTTTTAACAACAAAAAAAAAGTATATACATTACAGTTAGTTAACTGTGAGAAAATAGAACATTTATAACCTTGAAGCATATTACATAATCAAAAACTCTGACAGGACTGTAGCTAAAACAACAGTGTGTCGGCTGTTAAGAATTCATGGGAACACTGGGTGTGTCCACACCAGCAAAGCACCTTTTTTTTTTCTTAAATACAAATCAATCTGCTTGTCTCGTCTGCACTCGATCGGGCACAGACTTGATTTAAAGTGGTGACTAAATCATTTGGACTCTAAGTCTTTAGAAATACAAAGGGGGAAAGTGCCTATAATCACGACTTGTACAGCAGATACAGTTTTAGGCTTCTTCTGACTCACTATCCTGAAGACAAGAATAGGCAAAATGTCATAATAGATCACAGGAAAAGTGTAGCCGGCATGTAAAAAAAATTATAAGTGGTTATGAAATTCCAGAAAATTTACATTAGATGATGGACATTTCCCCAGAAATCAGTGGTCATCAGTGGTTATTTTTTTTATTAGTCTACAGACTATTTTATATAATTTAGTCCTTCCATCAAAATGTCCCACAGCATAAGTTGTCAACATTGTCAGTTTTCCTCTACAGCCAGTTAACACGCATGCCACAGTGCTGAGCTAATCTCAGACTAGTTGCATATTAACTTTGTCAGTCAACGATCTGTTTTAGTTTTAACTTAAATGATTGTAAATCGGCTCATAGCACAGGACAGGAAGTCTAATTTACTGTAGTAGAATACAGACAGTAACCTATGCTGAGGAACTAGTTTCCTTTTAAAAAAAAAAAAATATGTAGACCCCTTCACAGGTAAAAGATGCTGCAGTATAAAAGGACTACGTGTGCGAATAAATGTGCAGCCTGTTTACAAAGCTGTCTTGAATTAAAAAATATATAAAAGAAAAAAAAATCCCAAACCTATGAATTCATTTCAAAAGCCACAAAATGGGTGAGAAAATTTTCCCTGCACGCTGCCACCTGCACCCCTTAGAGGAATGTCGGCCACCCAGTTTCACGTCACACTCATTCACACACCTGCCCACCCAGCGCGTACCATGTAAGGCACGAATGCAGACCGAACAAAAAAAATCATTTTCAAGAGCTTAATAAACGATATGGATTACACAGTCTCTGCGTTTAATTTGGGGAAAGCTTCCTAACGCTGCAGGCGGCTATAGGATAATAAGTGTGTCACTGAGTCGGTTAGAGGAATGAAAGGAGCCTCGCTTCGTTCAGTCCTCAGTGAACGCCCTTTTTCGCTTCCCGGAAAGCAAACCAGACCGCTTCTTCTAGCCACAGTTATTCTCACATTTTAGACTGCTTCATTCACAAAAAAATGCCGCTTAGCAGGGCCGAGAGGCGTCCTCTAAAAACAGCGAGCGAACAAAAATAGATGGGTTAACGTTGCCGTAAGTAACGCTTCCCTGTCAGGCGAGCACCGAACAATGACTGAGCAGCGCGGAGCATCAACGATTTCCACTTACAGCCGCTAGATGCGGCGATTAATGCAGGGTTTAAAAAGATACCTTACCAGAAGCACAAGCAGGGACTCTTTTGATAAAAACACCACCGAGCAACAGCAGTAAATAGATGTAACTAACCTGCGAGTGTCGTTAGACGGTGTTGTTCCTGATTCCCGGCCGCACAGCTGATGATCTCTCCCGCTCATCCACGGGGTTTCCCTCCAATCAAAGACACGGCAGCAGGGTCGAGCCCGGATGGGTGACGTAAGAAGGGAGTTGCTATGGTAGCCAAATCTAAGGGCAAATTTTTTTAAGACTGCGCCGAATGAGCAAAAAACAAATAAACGAATTTCACAGAAAATTAACAAAATTATGATAATGTAAAACATTATGTAAAAAATCTTCTAAATATAGATTTGATTTTTTTTATATTTACGTACAAACGGCATAAACGCTTGGTTTGTCCGGTACGCCCGCAAGGATGCTTGGGATATGTAGTTTATAGTTATTATAAATCAAATGAAACTTTTCAGGAGAATTTATACTTATATCTACAATACTTATATCTATCAAGACACTGGAAGGAAAAACGTTTGTGTTTAAAAAAAAAAATCCTTTGTGAGTGTGTGTGTGTGTGTGTGTGTTTGTGTGTGTGAAAGGTCATTATGCAAGAAGATAGAAGCCAGGAGGAGGAACCCGGAAGTGGGGCAGGATTGACATAAAGTGGTTTTGTCTACCTTATTATATTTTCAAACGAGCATATTATTGGCCCGTGGCGTAGATATCAATGTAATTTCAGTTTCACTCTCATAATTTGCCGTTTAATAGAATATAATGCCTTTATTGTCACTATACAGTTGTACAATGAGATACAGAGCATCTCCTACTCAGTGTAAACATGCGGGGGGGGGGGGGTACAGTTCTGCAGCGCTATGTACTCTGCCTTTACGGCCGTTTGTGTTAGCTGTGCACACCTGCCCACAAATAATATGCATTTTTACTGAGACTGAAAACGTGATAAAAACGATTATGATAACGTGTGCTCTCTATATATGTCATTACTTTTAGAAACAAACACTAAAATCGCAAAATGGCATTTAATTTTTTTAATCCAGAAAAAGCTGCAAATAGCGGTGTCTTTGTACACCTTTATCATGTAAAACTATACCCATCAGAGCTTTCTACAAGGAGTGGTCTAACATGTATAGAGAGGAACTGATAAAATGAGGAAATTATGCAAAATAATGTTGGTGTAAGGCTAATATTATGTATACTGAAACTGTTTTATCTAATGCCATATAAATACTGAGGTACTGTGGCTCTTCTCAGTAGAAAGGCTTCTTCATTCAAATGCCTTGACCCATTGAGTAGTCCAGACATCAGTCATGTTTTTCTAGTTATTCTAGTTTTACAAATTTCAGGTTTAGGTCTATTGTGATGGATCACTTCCCCTGACCTTGTAAAACTGGTTGAAAGTAGCAGCGATCCAAGCAAGTCTGTTATCAGGGTTGGGGATGGACGAAGACACCAATCAGACCCCGCAGTACTTTCTTAGAGACATAAATCATGCACAGAAGTTTTAGAATTAGAGGTGTGCTAATCAGTGGCCAAGCAGAACTAGAGTAAGGTAGATAAGCAGTGTTTGACAAATACAAATAAATATTCCCAACCTCCTGCTGGACATGTTGATCACTAGCTATTATTACACCACACATAAACTAAATGAAAGCGGTGCTCTCCAAAATATTGTTCCACAGAAACACCGAAACAACACAGCAGGTGCCACGATGCCCAGACACTGGAGTTGAGCTGGTGCTTCAGTGTTTCTTTCTCACTAGTGCGATGAGAGCTGAAAATAGATGATCTATAGCCACAGGGAAATTCTTAACCTAATTAAGTTGTAACGAGTTTGTACGAGTGCTCTCATTTTTTTCCTGTGACTCTTGCATGTTGAGATCAAAGACAGGCTGTAGAAAAAAAAATCTTACATATGTGTATGTGTTTATATGAATGAACATGTGTTGTGTTTTTGATTCACAAGTTTACAGATGGGAAGGCAGGATGTGGATTATGTGTGAGGAGGCTGGGGAACAATGTGGGTTGTGAGTCATTTGGCCGAGCTGCTCAAACAACTAAAACAACAGGCAGCGTGTCACTGACCGTGGTGTGTGTGTGTGTGTTTGTTACTTCTGAGTAGTCAGAATTAAAGGAAGTCAAGCCACATTTCCCCCTAAATGATTTAATTATGACAAAGAAGACAGATGGTGTGGTCTTTATGGTTTGAGTGACTTCACACATGAAGTGCAATGGTGTGGTTGTAGCCATGTCTGCATGGTTGGCTTACACACTATATTCTTGCAGTTATTGTGTTTCAGCTGAAGTGAAGCGTTTGTCATTACTGGACATGTTAAAGACCTCTTTATGCAGACCGAGTTGCATAATGGTTTAGAGGTTTTTGATTGTTAACTGCTGCACATTGAGCCATTTCAGCTGATCCAAGGTAACAGATGCACAATTTGAACTTGTTTTTGATATTTGGTACCGATTCTGTCACTTCCTGTACATATTTGTGTTTAAACCGGTGAGTAAAGCTCTGTGTAGCTGGGAGAGGAGATTAATTTATTCAGTTAAAAATGTCAGAACCTCCTGGGATGATGTTCATGTCAGCTGCCAGTTACTCTCTGTGAGTCATCCTGCCATCCCTACAGTTAAAGCTCTGTATCCAGATACATTCAGTTCTTGGTGGGTGAGAGCTGATGACACATAAATGACATTCATTTACATAAAAGTTTTATGATTTTCCTCATTTTCTGTCACACAGTAAATACTATTAAAGTGGTGGATGCTTATAATAAACCGGGCCAGCCTACATGTGAGTAAGCCGTAAGCCAAAAACTCAGGCTTCACACATTTTATTCTACTCCCGGGGTGTGTCCGGTATTACTCACTCAGCCTATGCAGCACACCCAAAGCGTCCCACACTGCCTCACAAAAAGGAGTGTAAAACCAGTGGTCATTATCCAAGCACGGTATGCTGTCATGCAATGAACTGAAGTAAAAAAGACAGCCTTACAGTCACGAGACTAAAAATGTAATAACTGTGTAACTACCAGTATTTATTTATCCAGCCTGTTTTCATCTGTTTTGCTCGACAGTTACTATGTAACTAACAGCACAGAGAAAATGACGTGATCAGTGATCACTGTACACTTACTGGCTATTTTATTAGGTACACCTGATGGTTAAAGAGGTATCACAGAATTAAAAAAGGTGCTCAGAGATTATTATTCCTCAGAGATTAATGTCAATGCTGACATGATAGCGTCACAGTTACTGCAGATTTGTCAATAGAGCATCCCAACAATGCTCTATTGGTTTGAAATCTGGTGACTATGGAAGCCATTTGAGTACACTGATCTTATTGTGATGTTCAACAAAAAAGTTTGACATTATTTGAGCTTTGTGATATGATATAATCACGTATCAGATGGGTACACTGGTTATAAAGGGAGCCATAATACTCAGGTAGGCTGTGGGGTTTAAACCATATGCAGCCTGAACTATTGATACAAGGCATGATAGGTCTATACCTTCACATTATTGACACCAAGTTCTGATTCTACCATCCTGATGTCACAAAGGAATTTGAGACCGAACGATTGCCCAGTCTTCTTCCAGTTTTGGTGAGCTTGTGTGAATTGTAGCCTCAGTTTCCTATTCCTACCTGACAGGAACGGCGCCCTGTGTGGTCTTCTGCTGCTGTAGCTCATCTGCTTTTAGGCTCAATGTTTGCATCCAGAGATGCTCTTTTGCATGTCTTTATTATAGTGAATGGTTACTTGAGTTGCTGTTGCCTTCCTATTAGCTTGAAGCAGTCTGGCCATTCTCCTCTGAACTGTGACATCAAAAAGCGGATTTCACACAGAGACATTTCACTGGACATAGCCATCTGTCAAAAAGAGGAAATGTGGGAAAATCCCAGTAGATCAGCAGTTTCTGAAATACTCAAGAGTAGCCCGTCTAATACCAATCAGCATAAACCGGTTAAATCACATTTTCTCCCCATTCTGATGCTCAGTTTGAACTTCAGCAAGTTATCTTAACCATGTCTAAATGACTAAGACATGAGAAGCAGCAAATCAGAGAAAGTCAGATTAAAGTTGAAGGAGCGCACAGAGCTTGTTTTACACAGGATGCACTGAGCTGTACAGAGGCTCAATTTAAGATGCATAAGAAAGAATTTGAACTGAATCTAGCAGAGTGCAAAAAATAAAAACATGGCACTGGAAATGATCTCCAGAGATCCACTTTAAAGCCGTTTTCAGGAATGGAATCGAGGCTCACGCCTGGACTTGTTCAAGGTTGTCCTTTCCTCACTTATAGCCCAAAACAGTAGATAATCCCATCTCACTATTGGGAATACTCAGTTTGGTTTAAGAAAAGGCGGTGCCTGGAAAGAGTGGAGCTGGACGCCCACTCGCTCGCTGTAAATCCACGGTAATTGCCCAAGCTAGTCTCACAATCGGACATCGCACAGACTTTGTTCTGCCCAGATTCTGAGTCAAAGACCATTAATCCCGAAGGGCAAACAGGTTCTCACATGCAGCCTCGCTGAGTAATAAGAAAAGAAACAGTCAGGTTTAGAAGGCAGGAGAAAGTAAAAGAGAAGCAGAGAAGTGCTGTTACTTTGGAAGGAAGACAATAAATTACTCGGCACAAAATTAAACAACCGACACACAAGCGGAGTGAAGGAACACAGGGACTGTTTGTGATAACATTACCTGCTTAAACACATAATGTATCAGTGAAATTCATCCTTGCCAGAAAACATTATCACACAAAGCAGAGCTACAACAAAGTGAACCTTTAATAAAATGACTTAACAATTCATCATTGGAGCATACATTCATTGGTTTACAATTCATCCAGCAGCTTGGAAATGGCTATCAAAATGTCACTTTTTTTTACTGAAACAATTACGAAATTATGATGAATTAAAATGAGAATATGCAGTAATAACCAGGCAGACACGACCGAGGACGAGTTACGCTCTGAGCACTTATGGATAAAGATTCACAGTCCCCGTTTCCATTCAGCGCTCAAAGCACTAATTAAGAAGACGAGGTCAGTTTTGTCACCGCTGTAACTTCAGCAAACACTGTGCATTTATCTCGAGCGATCAATCCACCAAAGCTAAAGCGTAAAGAGACAAGAGCGGGCAGCAAGAAATACTCCAATACGC